AAATTACTTGACGTATGTCATTAGATGTATTTTCAGTATCTTCAGACTATCTTAATTTACATAATATCGTTGCACACATCAACTCCTGCAAATTTATGGGACAAAAGATTTCTGAAACAGAATGAAAAACACGTGATTTCACAGGTCACTAACAATGGCTCAAAAAATTGATCATTTAGGTTTGATTTCAAATTTTTCCAAATGATAACTCGAATAATGAATTTAAATAGTGGCTTGAACAGAAAAATTGTTTTCAACAAGAATTGAATAGAAATAAAATTTTGACAGTATTCTAAAGACTCAGAATCTTTAGGAAATCCGAATCGCAGTTTACCAGTCCTCAGAACCCGAAAAAATTCTTTTGATTCTATGGAGTGACAAGCTACTCATATTCTGTAAACAGAGATGTGTCAGAGCTCTTCAGAGCATGCTTTGAATGAACCATATCGATATCAAGAAACGTTTAAAGATAGTTTTTTCATCATTTTCTAAGAGAAAACTGACCCAAAAAAGGTTTTGGACTTTGTTTAAACTTGTGTGACTTAGTGGAAAAATCAAAACCAAATCTTTATGATCAATTTTTGGAGCCACTATATATACTAGTCAAAAAAAGTTTCAGAGTTTCTGAAAACCGAAGTTTAAAAATGCCATCCTACAGGTCTCTAGATTAAACTCATGTCTTACTTGATTGAAATGAGGGAGAACCAGATGAATACTTAGGTCTGACAAAAAGTTCTGAGAACATTAAATAAAAATATAAAAATTCAGAGATATTTTTAATTTTATTTTATCAAATGTTGAGGATAGTTGCCATGATTATTTATATCAAGTTTAATTCTTTCTAACAATTTATTAAAAGTTTGTTCAACCTCTTTTTCTAAAACAATTTTAGCTACCTTGGATACCACAAGAGCTAATCATATTTCATTTATTTAATCAGTTAAACTTCATTCGATAGAATCACTTAACCAAAGATTATGTAGTATTAGATCTGGCGAATATGGAGGATATGACATTATATTGATTCCTTTTTCTGCCAACTAATTAATACGATTGAATGAGTATGAAGTCAACGATGATCGTCAAGCAATTTTATACATTTTGAACCTGATGTCTATGTTTGTTTCCATATTTCGTTAACAAAAGGGTTCAGATAATTTTCAATATAATACTTGTGATCTATAGTCTTGCCTTTATCTACACTCAAGACTATTTGATTTAATGAATATCAAACTTTGACAATTCATCATTAATAAGCCAGTTAGCATTAGATGACTTATGACTAACCTATCTAAAATAAATCCATATCCCATTACTAGTACTGCTAGAATGCAACTGACATGATCGAACAAAATTATACTAAATTTTTAAAACAAATGAAATATAATTAGTTCATGTGGTATCCAAGGTAGCTAAAATTTTTTTAGAAAAAGAGATTAAAAAAACTTGTAATAAATTGTTAGAAAGGATTGAACTTGATATAAATAATTATGGCAGCTATCCTCAACATTTGATAAAATAAACTTAAAAATATCTCTGAATTTTTATATTTTTATTTAATGTTCTCAGAACTTTTGGTCAGACCTAAGTAGATACTGGCAAATTAGTTCTAGCACGCGAAAGTTTTTTTCTTCACAACTAAATCAACACCAAGTAATTAGTATAGATTGAAGGAGAAGCAGCTACAGGATACGGTTGACTTCCGATCGACCAAAGTCACTGGTAAAGTTGAATACGTTTCGATGTTGGCTGTCAATGAATAACATCAATTGAAATATCCATGCCTTATGATATATGGAACGATTGTATAAACTAATGATGCATGACGAGCAGAACGAAAGAAAATGTAGTTGCATATGCCTTCTCTCTTTTTATGTTGGAACAAGAACAAAGTGATGCCATCACGCCATACAAGCTACTCCTTTCATAAGTAATCCGTTTTTCTGGATACTCATGTGAGCAATGCTACGAATGGATATATCAAACAAATTAGTTAATGACCCTTTTCTCTTTTACTGTCAAAAAGAGTGAACATACATACCGCACTGAGTTTCATTACAGAAAAAACACATGCAACTAAAAATATTAAGATGCGATCGAAGAAGATATTACCATTAAAAGAAAGATATGATCTAGCATCAAGAAACAACGACATCATATTTAGGGAACAGCAGAAAGGAGAGAGAAGAAGAGAAAGAAAAAGAAAAAATATAATGTGAAGACGGAGCTTGTACAAATTGGGTATCCTTAAAAATATGTGTCTGTACACATGTATGTAAAAGAAAGAAAAAAGACAACATTCATAACGGATAGAAAATGTATATCAAAAAAATCTGATGCTCGATAGATAAAAACCGTGTTCGATAACATACAGAGAAAAAAGTGTCTATGAACTGTATAAACGATGATAATATTATTCTATTAGAATGTTATTGTGTAATATGTATTTGACACAATCGACAAATGTTCGATTGTTTTAAGTTAATAAATAATGTATGTCTCAACATAATGATATTTACATGCAATATGTTAATTGATTTTAAAATATGTTTGACCTTGGTAATGCTCAACAACGGACAAGCACGACGAATGACTTCCTAACGATAACAATTTGCTCGATGATGAGGATAAACTGAGTGGTTTCATATTTATTTTGATGCAAAAGATGTTGTTATCAAGTTTGAATCTAGATAGTTATAATTTCTTAACTGATGTGCTTTATCTCTTACATAAACCTTCATCATTTTGTTTAATGATTTATCATGGCAATGCTCTTGAGTATAAAAATGACCTGATTTATGTTGGAGATGAGTTTTAATAATTTCAGATAACGATTGAATGCCTATTTTACTTTCTGAAAGGTCTTTATAAATCTCTTCATTATTTTTTCAAAGTTTTATTTTGTTTGATGTACATATCTTTCCAACTTGTTCGACATCTTTCTCATGTAGATATTCACTAGATAGCTTAAATTTGTAACAGGAAAAAAGTCGTCAACAGCATATTCTTTTAGTATTGATCGTTACTTTTTTTCTTGTTGTATACGATATACATGTTCAGGATCAACTACCTGTTCTGCAATTCTATGTGCCTATTTAATCATCACTTGTAATGATTATATTTGGTTGCATCATATTTCTGTTGTATATCATGATCATTAATTTCGATGTTTGTATAAAATAAACGAAACCGATTGATACTTTAAGTTCTTCTTATATTGAACCCCATGCATAAATATGATTGTTCGACATGTAAATTATAGAACATAATTTATGTATCTTCTTGAATAAAAGATTTTCAATTAATGGTGAATACTGAACTTCAATAATTACGATAGTTGTAAGGTTGAGGGTTTATGTAATAACGAATCATCTTCTGTGTCTATAGAAAAATGATTTGTCAATTTTATTTCATCGATTTATTGATCCATTGTAAATATACCTGTTTTTTCATGAATAACATAACATAAATAAGTTTCTGGTTGTTAATAATTATGTTAAATCCCCTTTTCAACACTGAGCATGTAATGTCCTGACAATTTTCGTCGTCTTCTTCTTTCATGAAGGATTTCTCAATTGAAAAATAGTTCTTTGATCAATTTCTTGCATGTAGCTGAAAATGATACATTAAAACTTTATGACAATGCATCAAGAGAGGAAGCATTATAAAAAGTTCATTTAACTGAAAAAATTCTTTATCATTTGGATTCAAAAATCAATTTACTACGAGGTTTTCATATCAAATTTCCCATTTTTAATCGTTTGATAAAGTCAATTCTGGAAAATGATAATCTAAGACACTGTAGGTGTATTTGTTCTCTTCGCCCCCGCTCAGATCCACATCCGCAATCGAAATATAAATTAATCTTTTACTTTTTGGAAGTTTGTTTCATATAGAATCCCGATTGAGTTCCGTACACATTATTCTACTTCCATATTGGTTCAATAAATTCTTTTAATTGAGAAAACATTTCTACCCATAATGTGACATACTTACGTTAGTCTTTAATTCGAAATTGGATGTTATATAAACGATCAGTCCCATATATTCGTTACTTGAAACATTAAAATTTGATACTTATGCGATAAGATAATTCGTATCTCTAACTAGTAACTGGTTAGTGCTTGACTATCTTCGAAAAGATCACCTTCGTTAAATTTTGGTAATGAAACATTATCAAATCAAATAAGATTCGAATCAATCCAACGTAGTTTTTATTTAATCTTAATGTAAATGATGGCAATAAAACGAAGCCATCAATTCAACATATTTATAAAATAAAATTCTTTTCACAACGAAAGTTAAGACTAATTTAATACATCATTGAATTATTTTAAAAAATTTATTTTAGTTTATTTTTTGATGAACTGAAGGAAATTCATGTTTCATCAAACCATTAATTTCAATCAATGATGAAATTGGACGAGTCTCTTTATCCATAAAAAAAACGAAAAGGAGATAAGGGATAAACATATTTTTTAAACAAATAAAACATATGTTTGTCTTCAGAAGGCACTTGAGTAAATATTGCATCTTTATAATAAGTAGCATGCAGAACTTTGCACCTTGATCAAATTAAAGTCACAATCTATAGCAATCCACATTCTGTTTGCACTGTAGACTGTGTCTTCGTCGCACCTCTGGAATTTCTTTATTCGAATTTCATCTTCAAATCTCATTTCTTACATAAGAGTGCCTAATTTAAGGTAAAGTTCTTCTTCGTAAGTAGTAGTGCAGATACGAGTATAATAATAACTGGGATTACCTGCGAGTGAATGTGGATGAGTCATTCGATTTGAAATCCCTCGTATAGGCCTCTTTTCTTTAAAGTTTCATATGTATGCCATATATATAGGAGTCTATTCCGTGCATGCTTGACCTTCGCACTTCTATGGCCCATCGGAGTGGATCCGAATGTTGTGTGAGAATAGAATAGTCATGTCATTTTTATTCCGCATGATTTATTTCATTGAAAGAACAAAAAATACTCATTAATCGCTCTAATCAGAGCCTTCGATGGAAAAACGTTGTACTCGATGATTTCCATTATCGAAGACATAGAGATTACCATGTCGATCGAAGGAAACAGTAGCAGGAAAAGATAACTGATTAGCCCCTGCTCCTTCACCATTTCCACCGACAATGACAGTGCCCTGTCTTGCTCCTTTAGGCCAACGCACTACTCGATGGTTTCTTGTGTCTGCTACATACACAGTACCCAACATATCAACAAACAGTCCTCCAGGGTACGACAATTGTCTCAGAGACTTTCCTTCGCCATGATCACCTGCGACGACAACTCCCTCTATTGCACCTTTATCCCATTTTATTATACGATGATTTCCGCTGTCTGACACGTAAACAGATTGTTGTCGATCGACAAAGAGATAGCTCGGCTGGTTGAGTTGAGTGATATCATCACCTTTACCATGGCCACCGGCCACTACAGTTCCATTCTTGTCTCCTATTCGATATCGTTTCACATCATGCACGGTAGGGTCAGAAATGTAGAGATATCTCTGATTATCCATGGCCAATCCGTAGCATAAGAATATGTCGAAGAGGACTTCTCCTTGAGTTGTACCATTACGACGAGACCATCGTACGACTCGTCGATTTCGATCATCACAGATAATGAGACTATCTGTCTCGTTGTCTATCACTACATCGGTTGGATAAAACAATTGATCCAGCCGATTTCCTTGGTCATTGCCACCAGCTACCACTCGTCCATTTGTATCACCCACTTTCCATTGCATGATACGATGATTGTCCCAGTCAACAATAAGCATTGTTTGATCATCATCAGTAAGAAAACCTTTGGGATGGTTTAGTTGATAAGTAGCACTGCCTCTTCCATGACCTCCAGCAACAGTCACTCCATTCTGTGTCCATTTAGCATTGACTGGAATATTGGAAATCACTACAATGAAAGATAAAAACGAAAATGAATTATCATCGTTGTCAGATAGATCCTTTCCCTCGCGAAGAAAATACTACAAAAGATATATTCTTGTTCGTCTTGAAGAGAACTTGGTAAAGCTTTTGAGAATGTTCATTTTACCTAGTATACTCACGAAGGAACTGTTCTAACTGTTGCGAGTTTTTTGACTCCATCTTTTTGGCTACAAGTGAGTTCCAGTGAGACAAAGAAAATTCTAAAAGCGTTCATGTTCATGACTCTGCCCTTCAAAGATATGATCACACGTATGTCAAAAGAAATTGACTTTTTATGATTTTATTGAAGTATCGTTTTTCTTCTGTCCTTTTGGAACTAAGAAGGGTGTAGATCTCCAACTCACTTACATCCACACTCATAAAAAGAATCAAACTTCGATAGTGACAAAAAGTAGCCAACATGGAGGAAACTATTGTTACTCGATTTTAACTTATAACAGAGGATTGGTAATCTTACTAGAGTAAGCTTTAACAAGCTGCAGACTAATATTGTACACAAAACATGTATATGTATTTTATTGAAAATTAGTATTTACCAAGATTAAAAAGCATTAATCTAAAGTTTACCTGACTGCTGAGTGGTGGTTGTAGTTGTAGTTGCGGTTGTCGTTGGAGTTGGAGTTGAGGTTGTAGATGTAGTGTTCATTGCTATTGATTATTATAGAACATTCATGTGGACAAGGCGGATAGCTAAGGGTCTGACATAGGATGTAACAGAACTCGATACACTTAAGTTTTATGTGAATCCGAATAAAGTGTTTCAAAGTAATGAACGGTCTCAAATGTTCTGAGAAGAAATGTGCTCGTTTCAAAACTGATTTTTGACGATTCGATTCCATTTGATTCTGCTGAATTAAATCGAATCCAACGAGATCGTTCTGATAAAACTCATTATTTCTATTGTATTTTGTTGATCTTTCACGTAAATTATCCGTGTGCTAGTGTGTAGGTCTCAGGTCGTTAGAATATTCTGTCGTCAAATGAGTAGAATGAGTGAAATGAATTTAACGAAGTTTTTAGAAGAACAGAATAACAGTGTAAAGATAAATTGTTATTAACTTTCTCTTGTCGCTCTTATCTTGAGGCAGTTTGAATTTTTACATTTTCCTCTTAATAAAGAAATCTTAAATGCTTAATAAATGTGGGCAGTCTCCAAAATAAGTAGCCGTGCACCAGGGCCAGCTAAGACAATGTTGCTGCAAACTTTGGAAAAACAGTTTACAAATACTATCGAATAATCGATCATTAGTCGCATAGTCAGTCCATGCAATAGCCAAATCTCTATTGAACTTAAGTGGTTACTATATCAGAAATACATGACAGAGAGAATTATAGATACATTTTCTTTTGCGTTAATTCTCAATTTCATGTGCTTTGAAAAAAAAGTTGTCCAATGCATTCAATGTTCACAATAATCAGTTGATTATATAGCAAAAACTACGAAGAAAGAGAAACGTGTCACAGTAGAATTAATGGGCAGTCTCTGATGCACATTCAAAAGTTCACTGCATGTCCATGTATCGATTGGTAAAATGTAACATACTCTATTTCAAATCTCATGAATGCCATCCATGTGATGAGAAACGTTTTCTCCAATAATTACAATTTATTTTATCTCTGCCATGCTTTATCTACTTTTTTCAACGATTCTCCGATTCTTCTATACCGTTCCTACACTAGCATCAATTGCATGTGTGAGCATGTTTAAATGATAAAAAAATAACTTTAAGAAACATTCGACTTTCATTTGACTCTGTGGATCATCGTTTGTTTTCCTACTTGCTTTTGGTGGACACAGTTGTTGATTGAAACTTGGCACCGGATAACACACAGGAAGATTATGGCAATGAGGATGATGAACACATCTATGATCAGGTTCATGACAAAGATTGTTTGAGCTTTCACATGTAACTAGCTCAGAACAATCAATGAATTCATCACCACAAATGCCAATATTAATAGCACCTGCTATATAGAAACAGGCACATGCACTATTTGGCGAACATCGATCATATTGTGATATTCCATGACAGAATTGAGAGTTCACTCGAACTAGTGACATACTAAATTAATAGCACGACATGTAAAACGAAACAAGAATCAAACCTGTGAGGCTTAAAAGGAAAATTGTGTTCAATGTTAGATGAATTCGAGAGAAATAGATTTTAGAATTACTTGAATAGAATGAATACAAAACAACGAAGCATTGATGAAACCATCATTTGCATTGAAATGAAACAGAATAGCAGCGGTACCTACTTTTATATCTAATGAATAGGTAATTTTTTTCGCATTCACTGAAAGTTAAGAAGCACATGATGTGATCTTTCGATAAATGGACATTTGATATTGTCTCAGTGCTTACCTAAGTATTTAATTTTTTTCAAAATAACTGATCTTTATAAAAAGAAAACAAAAATGTTATAAAAGCAATATCGGAGGGCTTTTGCAATGCAAGCATTAAATAGACTCGTGCTATCATTCAAAACATCAATATTATTATTGTTAATCATTGACTCACTATGTAATGATGACTTAGAACAATGTCAAGGACAAATTTTGTTTTTAATGTTTATTCTTCATTTATCAGTGGCTTGCAGAAGTTTATACCTTGATCAAATCAAAGTTAAAAACCTATAACCAATCACATTTATTTGTATTTTGGGTTGTGTTTTTGTTACATATCAAGAATTTATTTATTCAACTTTTATCGCCAAATCTTCTTTCTTACATAAACATGTCCAGTTTAACGAAAAGTTCTTCTTTATAAATAGCAGCATGGATACGAGTAAAAAATAGCTGGTATTGTTCGCGATTAGAATAAGTACATATGGTAATAAAAGTATTCGATCATTTTGGCACGCCAATGAAACTGTAGTTGATTTTTTAAATATCATCCTAGCGGCTCGTTCATATCCTGTGTCATAGTTAGTTGATGAATTTTTTTAATATTCAACTT